ACCACGACCGCCAGTTATAACAACCACGATATGATAATAACTACCGCGACCCATGATTACTAACAACCCGACCGCCAGTTATAACAACCGACCATGATTATAACAAGCACGACCATGATTATAACCAAAGACCATGAAGAATATAACAACCCACGACCATGATTATAACAACCACGACCGCCCAGTTATAACAACCCGACCGCCATTATAACAATCAAAGCCGCGGTTATAACAACCACGACCGCCAGTTATAACAATCACGACTATGATTATAACAACCCGGCCATGATTATAACAACCACGACCATGATTATAACAACCACGACTATGATAATGTAATCACGACTGTGATTTATAACAACCGACCATGATTATAACAACCACGACCCGCAAATATAACAAACACGACCAAGTTATATACGGCACGACCTGAACGCAACCCGACCATGAATACTTCGCCTTACGACTGCGCGAGAATTATAACAGCGACCATGATTATAACAGCGCGACCATGATTATAACAAAGAAGACCATGAATATAACAACCACGACCATGATTATAACAACCACGACCATGATTACCTGTAACAACCACGACCATGATTATGGCCGTGCAGATTATAACAAACCACGACCATGATTATAACAACCATGACAATGATTATAAAACCACGACTATGATAATAACTACCACGACCCGCGGTTTATAACAACCACGACCGCGTTACAACTGGCACGACCATGAATATAACAACCGACCGCCAGTTATAACAACCGACTGATTCTAACAACCGACTATGATTGACCGACCGAGTATAACAACCCACGACGCCAATTACCAACAACGACCGCGAGTTATATGACGACCGCGATTGTCGACCATGATTATAACAACCGACCGCCGATTATAACAACCACGACCATGATTATATAACCACGACCGCGGTTATAACAACCACGACCCGCAGTCATAACAACCCACGACCCATAGATATAACAACCCGACCATGATTATAACAACCGACCATGATTATAACAACCCGACCATGGTTGCTAACAACCGACCATGATTATAACAACCGACCCACCGCCAGTCATAACAACCACGGCTGATTATAACAACCACGACCATGATTATAACAACCACGACCATGATTATAACAACCACGACCATGATTATAACAACAATATGATTATAGCAAGCGACCATGATTATAACAACCACGACCCATGATCATAACCGACCCGCTGATTATAACAACCACGACCATGATTATAACAACCACGACCATGATTATAACAACCACGACCATGATTATAACAGCCACGACCATGATTATAACAACCACGACCATGATTATAACAACCACGACCATGATTATAACAACCGACTATGATAATAACAATCGACTATGATTATAACAACCGACCCATGATTATAACAACCCGACCGCCAGTTATAACAACCGACCATGATTATAAAAGCGACCATGAATATAACCGACCATGATTATAACAGCGACCATGATTATAACAACCACGACCATGATTATAACAACCGACCCGCGATCATAACAACCCGACCCATGATTATAACAACCACGACCATGATTATAACAGCACGACCGCCAGTTATAACAACCACGACCATGATTATAACAACCACGGCCATGATTATAACAAAAGACCATAGACCTGCGCCAGCCACGACCGCCAGTTATAACAACCGACCATGATTATAACAACCGACTATGATAATAACTACCGCGGCCGCCAGTTATAACAACCACGACCATAGATTATGTAGCCACGACCATGATTATAACAACCACGACCATGATTATAACAAAGACCATGAATATAACAACCCGACCGCCAGTTATAACAACCGACCATGATTATAACAACCGACCGCCAGTTATAACAATCACGCCGCCAGTTATAACAACCACGACCATGATTATAACAATCGATATGATTATAACAACCCGACCATGATTATAACAACCACGACCATGATTATAACAGCGACTATGATAATAACAATCACGACTACCGAGTTATAACAACCGACCGCCAGTTATAACAACCCACACGACCCATGATTCATAAGCAAAACCGCGACCATGATTATAACAACACGACCATGAATATAACAACCGACCGCGGAGTTACTTAAACAAAGCACGACCATGAATATAACAACCGACCATGATTATAACAACCACGACCATGATTATAACAACGACCATGATTAATAAAGACCATGAATATAACAACCGACCATGATTATATGGCACGACCATGGTTTATAACAACCGACCATGATTACAACAACCGGCGACCATGATTATAACAACCACGACCATGATTATAACAACCATGACAATGATTATAAAACCGACTATGATAATAACTACCCGACCCATGATTATAACAACCGACCATGATTATAACAATACGACCGTAGATATAACAACCGACCGCGAGTTATAACAACCGGCTATGATTATAACAGCCGACTATGATTACAACCACGACCAATTATAACAACCACGACTATGATTATAACAACCACGACCATGATTATAACAACCACGACCATGATTATATAACAACCACGACTATGATTATAACAACCACGACCATGATTATAACAACCAAGAATATGAGTATAACAACCACGACCAAGATTATAACAACCACGACCATGATTATAACAACCACGACCATGATTATAACAAACACGACCATGAATATAACAACCACGACCATGATTATAACAACCACGACCATGATTATAACAAACACGACCATGAATATAACAAACTAATGACCATGATTATAACAACCACTTACCATGATATATATATATATATATATATATATATATATATATATATATATATATAGATATATGTATATATATGTATATATATATATATATATATATATATATATATATATATATATATATATGTATATATATATACATATATATATATATATATATATATATGTATATATTGTATATATATATATATATATATATATATATATATATATATATATATATATATATATATATATATATATATATATATATATATATATATATATATATATATATACTGTATATGTATATATATATAAAATTTGGAGGTTTAATGATTTTTGTATGTAACTATAATCAATGTTCACCTTGCTTGTTTCTTAAGATTTTCGTTAACTTTAATTTAACATAATCCAAACAGGGAGGTATTACCCCCTGGGAAGATATTGGAAGCATAATGTATTGTCTAATGGTAGACCCTGCTGCCATATGGCATAACAAAAATTGTGATCAAGTCCCAGGTTGCTGATTTGACTTTCTGCCTCATTTACACACAATTGCAGGGTCTCAATTGTTTTTCTTACTTTGACAACACAATATACATATATCTTTTCTTACTATTTATTATTATTATTGTTATTATTATTATTATTATTATTATTATTATTATTATTATTATTATTATTATCATTATCATTATTATTATTATTATTATTATTATTATTATTAATATATTTTCGCCCCCAGGCCATGATGTGGGTCATTGACCTGTGCTAATCCCATTAAAAAAAATGGCCTGGTGAACAATAAACGATAATGTGAATAAATTGAAATTAATCACTATTTTGATAAACTCCTCGAATTCAGAATGGTGGTATGAGCTGGGATTTGAGCTCGGCTCAGGAGTGCAAATCGGGATTACCCGGATCGGGTAAACTGTTTTATTTTCTTCAATTACGAGCAAGGATTCGAACACAGAAATTTCGGCCAATCACATTTCATTTACACCAATACGACAGACAATCATCATCGCGAGTAATGTTTACAAGATTATGGCGACAACTATGACTCCACGTGTTTTTAAGGAGGAGTAGAAATCTCTTTGCAAATCAAAAGTTACTTTTATTACTAAAATTACAATCGAATTATGATCAAATTATAATGATTTATGGTACTGTGTTACAACGTGGCTGTGTTATTATATGATAACAAAGAAATTCATAGAGGAAGAACAATTACATACAAATTGTTGATATAATCCGAGACAGGTGTCACTATTCATAACTAGAGCAAGATAAATCATTGCAAGGCGTAGTGACCTGGCTAGGTTCGGTTAGGTTAGGTTTCTTTCTGTTCTTTTAACCCTACATTTCCCCTCATTAGTAATGTTAAGAAAAGAATTTACTTTATTAATACATTAAAATCAAAATGCACTCAGCATTGATTCAATTATATTAAAAATATATGAAAATAGTTTTCCTAAAGAAAAACACTCAAAATAAGAAAGTGTCAACGTTCTTTACATTTACTCGCTTGATCTTCATGGACCCTAAACACGAAACTGTTGTAACACGTTACCATAGCTCATTAAGCAACCAGAATCTATCTTACATAGAAACTATTCGTTGGCTGAAGCAATCATCAGCTGATGAATGGGAGGTAGAGGTGAACCATAGCTAACAAGTCTGTCAAGTAGATGCTCCATATCACGGAAAATATCAAGGAAATCTCCCTTGTTGAACAAATATCGTCGCTTGAATTGCGTGTCATCATAAAAATTTATAGGATTTTGCCTATCTACCATCAATCTACTCTCTAAAAAATTCTAACTTGACGATATCGCCGAAAAGCGCGCTCTCCGTCAAAATTCATGATGACTAGCTATCTTGAATAACGGATCGACAGCTAAACCTGCCACCAGGCTGGATTAACGCGAGGGTCGACAAATCCGATCTCAAACCTGGTTTGAATCTTTGTGTTAGCTCAAGCCAGCGTTCTGAATCCAAATAATCTTCAAATTTCACTCGATCCTTGGTTTAAATCTCCATGCGGTTTCAAACCAGCATTCTGAATTCGGGCCCGAGAGTACTGGCAAAAACGTATTGGTCTTTACATTCAACCCACCCACCTCCTTCTCTCTCATACATAAAAAAAAAATTATCCTCACCCAGTGGCTGCAAAATTGGCCCAGAGTTTAGTCATGATATCTCTTAGCCTCAGGTCTTCTTCCCTCTCCAGATGTTTCCAATTGGTTTCTTCGCCAGTGAAAAGATAGAACAGGTCATCTACATGATTCACCCCTGTAATGAAATAATGGATTAAAAACAAAGGAAATATTATTGTATGGAGGTTTTGGTGACCCTTGACGGATGTTACAGTGATGAAAGCATATTGATAGTTACACCAAGACGACGAAGTAGGTGACTGTGTGACTTCGCTCTTCTCTTGTTCCCAGGTCCACTCGACTAGAGAACACTGGAAATGTCATGGTACACAACTGCACATAGCTATATAATGACGCAGACAATTTTAATGTTTCTTACCTTAAACAAATATAGGCTCAAGCAAAATGCGACAGATTTACAACAACACTGTAACTCTTTTCTTCTCTATCTGTAAAAACACAAAAGTACCAATTTGTATTATCAAGTGAGTATTTTAACATGTATGGACTTCAGAGCATAATTTGTGGTACTATGAAATAACAATGTCGGTAACGGCGGCAAATATATAAAATTTTAATTGTTGAATAAGTTATCAAAATTAACTGTATCCTACTACAGGGTAGTTGTTTTATAAACATATGAAATCATTATATTCCTACTGTAGATATTATGGGAAAATTTGGATACGTACAAGTGTATTTAACAAATGAATGTCCATGAAGAGTTAATGAATGTTGTTTTACCAGTAAAACATTAAGCAATAATCAATAAGCAATGTTGATGTATGCAAATTTTCTTAAGATTGAGGTTGAATATGAACGTAGACGTTCAACCTTATTGCCCAATTTCAAAACAGTGATTTGAACCTGGGATTTGAGCTCGGCTCAGGCCTGCGAAACAAAATTCCTAGATCCGAGATCCCTGCAGTGGATTACCCATATTTAGAACATCGACTTCAACACCGGATAGGGTAATCTGTTACATTATCTTCAATTACAAACAAGGATTCGAACACAGATATTTCAGCCAATCACATTTCAGTTACACCATAACGATAGCCAATCACCAACGAGAGTAATGTTGACAAGATTATGGCGGCAACTATGATTCGACGATTTTTTACAGAGGAGGAGAAATCTCTCCTTGCACATCAAAAGTTACTTTTTTTACTTTAATTAAAATCAAATTGTAATAAAATTATAATGATTTATGGTACTGTGTTACAACGTGGCTGTGTTATTATATGATAACAAAGAAATTCATAGAGGAAGAACAATTACAAACAAATTGTAGATATAATCCGGGACAGGTGTCAATATTCATAACCAAAGCAAGATGAATCAATGCAAGGTGTAGTGACCTGGCTAGGTTCAGTTAGGTTAGGTTAGGTTAGATTACGTTAGGTTAGGTTTCTTTATGTTCTTTTTAACCCTATTCCCCTGATTAGTAATGTTAAGAAAAGACTTTATTTTATTAATACATTAAAATCAAAATGCACTGAGCACTGATTCAATTATATTAGAAATATATCCAAATAGTTTTCCTAAAGAAAAACGCTCAAAATAAAGAAGTGTCAAAATCTTTTTTACCCGGAAACTATTCGTTGCAAAGAATCTTAAAATAATCATCAGTTGATGAATGGGAGGTAGAGGTGAACCATAGCCAACAGGTATGTCAAGTAGATGCTCCATATCACGGAAAATACCAAGGAAATCTCCCTAGCTGAACCTATATCTTTGTTTAAATTGCGTGTCATCATAAAAATTAATCGAATGCTGCCTATCTACAATCAGTCTTCTCTCTACAAAATTTCCAATTTGATGATATTGCCATAAACCGCGCTCTCCGTCAGCATTCATGTTGACTTGCTTGAAGGATTGACCGTTAAACCTGCCTCCAGGCTGGATTAACGCGAGGGTCGACAATTCCGATCTCAAACCTGGTTTGAATCTTTGTGTTGGCTCAAGCCAGCGTTCTGAATACCAACAATCTTCAATCTTCGCTCAATCCTTGGTTTAAACCTTCAGCGGTTTCAAATCACTGTTCTGAATTAGGGCCTAAAAGCCGACGAGCATTCCCCAAGTGACCGGATTTGCGTCACCTTGCCGTGACGTGGGGGCTCGAATAAACCATTTCCAATTTCCTGGGATAGGGATAAAGCTCCCAGCTTAAAGGCTAAAATGAGAAGGTTGGAAGTGGATAGTCACTACAGATGCAGGTTAACTTCTTCAAAGGCGATGGGTTGGTTCTTTTCCAGAGTGAGGTATGAGCGACCTCTACACCCCATTGTTAATTCCCAACTTTTTCTACTCCCTATTAATTAGCCTTGTGATAAAGAAAGGTTTCGAGCATTCATTCTCATTAATATCATCTCTTGTCCATGAACAACCATGGACAGACACAATAAACGTCACCTACATTGTCTCTCGTGTTTGTGGGCAGTACCTCCGAGAGCTAGCAAGTACTGTCCGAGCAAAACAAAGTCTTGGATATTAAACACAACAACGGAAAGTTTAAGAACGAAAAACACAAAATCAAAAAAGAAATACGGAATGTGAGGACATCATGTGAGGCTGGTAAGTTTGCAAATGTTTGAAGTGGGACATTCTAGGATTAAGTGAAGTAAGATGGACAGGTTCAAGTAGTATTAGTGGTGAAAGTATTTTACTTAATATATCCAGGTGATATAAATGGATATTGGGCTGTATCAAATAAGAGTTTTGTTTGTCAGATTCAATACTAAACCTATGGACTTAATAATAATACAGGTTTATGCATCAACAAATGATACTGAGGATAAAGTATAAGAAAAATTCATGAAGAATTAAAGGCAAAAAAAAAAGTAAAGTTGAAAGAATATATGATTATAATGGGCGATTTTAATACAAAACTTGGGAAAGGGAAAGAAGCACTGGAAGCAGGATCACTTACGTTGGGTAATAGAAATGAAAGAGAGGAAACATTAATTGACTTTTGGAAGGAATATACAATGATGATTGCAAATATATCTATGGAACTCACCCTAGGACAATTTAAATAACAGTCTCAGCAATCAAATAGAATATATTTTAATTCAGAAAAAGAATCAGAAATTCGGTAACCTGAACCACGATTTATTCAGGGGCATATTGTGAGTCGTAATCATGTCCAAGTAATGAGTTTAGTGAAACTAAAGCTTCAAAATTTAAATAAGAAAAACAATGGAAATAGTGAAATGGGATTTAAGGAACCACAAAAGAGGGCAAGCGATAGAATATTAATTGATGAACAAGAAACAGGACGACAATGGAATAATTACAAAGAAATTTTGTTACAGTGGGGAAAAGCTTATAGTTCATAGGAAGAACCTGCCTGAGAGTGAATGGATCACAAGTGAACTTTAAAAAAAGGAGGATAGATGAAGTAAAATGATAAGATGAAGTGAGGTTAATAAAGAACTTAACAAAGATTATTAAAAAGGAATGTAGACTGGCCAAGGAAGATTTTCTAAATAGACAAAACATGGAGGAAGAAGTTGATGTCAGAAGGAATAACTTTTTTTTTTTTTTTTTTACACGGGGATTAGCCCACCCGGGCACAGGTCACTGACCCACATCAGGGCCCAGGGGGCGAAAATTTAATAATAATAATAATAATTCATAGTAAATAAAATTTATAATAAAAAGTAAAATAAAATACAAAGAAATGCAAGAATGAAAAAAAATCAACAGTGAGAAACGCTATATGTATGTTGTTTTGTGGAATTAGCCCACACGGGCACAGGTCAAACGACCCACAACGGAGCCTGGGGGGAGAAAAAAAGAACGGAAAGAAATTGTAAATATAGAAAAAAAAGTTATACTGTATTAATCTACACCACGAAGATGCCGTAAAACCAGCTTTTTAAAGTGAGACAGATTGTAAGAGCATGGAAACACAAAAGAAGGCAGAACATTCCACAGTTTGGCTGTGTGAGGAAAGAAGGAGGTACTATGACGGGTTATTCCCGTGTGACCGACATCCACAGAGAAACGGTGGGCACCGCGGGCAAGACGTGTGTTACGAACCCACAGCCTTGCCGGCGGTACACAGGATGCCAAATCCACCGAACATTGCCCGTTAAAGTACCTGTAAAAGAGAGAGTGAAGCAACATTGCGGCGAAGAGAAAGGGAAGTGAGATTGTCGACTAAAGGAGGAGAGTTAATAAGACGAAATGCCTTTGATTCCACCCTATCTAATACAGTAGTTGGACAGAAGAAGAGCCACCCCAGATATGAGAGCATACTCCAAATTAGGACAAATGAATCCCTTATAAACTTGGAGCAACTGCTCAGGAGTGAAGTAGCTGCGGCATCTGTACAGCATCCTCAACTTTCGGGAGGCAGCTTTAGTTATACTAAGGATGTGTGATTTCCAGGACATATTGAAGGAAATGGTGAGGCCTAACATATTTATTTCAGAATTTGGGAGGATGATAGCGTCCTGAAATGTAATTGGTGGGAGATCGTCTAATTTACAAAGTGTAATTGGTAAATATTGAGTTTTATTACTATTGAACTTAACCAAGTTTGTACCTCCCCATTCAGAGATGCTGCACAGATCCGCGTTGATAGAAGTAATGATATCAGTTCTAGAAACAGATCTAGTTTGAGAGTTAGGAGGAAGGGGAAAACGTGAGGAAGAGTGAAGAGTAGAATCATCAGCGTAAAAATGGATAGAATTAGTTGTAGTGTGAAGTAATTCATTGATAAAAAGAAGAAAGAGAGTTGGTGAAAGAACAGAACCCTGTGGGACGCCACTACTGGTAGAGAAAGAGCAAGAAATCGATCCCTCGACAACAACTGCTATGGATCGGTTCTCAAGGAAGCTGGAGATGAGAAAACAAAGTGGGGGAGAGAAACCAAAAGAGGGAAGTTTAGACAGCAAAGACATACTGTATTATCCTGCAGCTTCACGTCTTGGTGACTACTGCCCAAATGTCTTTGCCTCTCAAGAGGATTTCGCCAATAATATTAAACAACATCTTCACTTGAAGAGGGTCGTCGTGTTTCAACCCGAGTTTTAAACTAAATGAGTCCTAAGGGACTCCGCAATACAGTACTTAACGGGGTGGTGTGGCTGTGAAATTAACTTATTCCAATATTATAAATTAATT